ATGATGATGATGATGATGATGATGATGATGATGATGATGATGATGATGATGATTAAGATACAATTGTCCTGTTATCCTGGATGTCTTATCTCATGTATCTTTGTTAACTGATGAGAGTTCTTTCAAATTATGGCATGTTGCAAGTCTAATGAAGAACGTGATTCATATTACTGATAATGACTCTCTGTCAGGCTTATTTTATGCCCAGCATGCTGTGTGGAGAACTGACCTGGTCTTACTGTTCTTATTTCAGCAATATCATGCCCTTCGGGTATGCACTATCAAGAATGTGGATCACCTTGTGCAAATACTTGTACTAATTCTGAAAGATCACATGTCTGTGAAGATCACTGCATAGACGGCTGCTTTTGTCCACCTGGTGAGCTGCTATCTTCAGCATAAATTATTCCTTTACTGAGGGAGGAGGGAAATGAGAGGATATAGTGCTAAGTATATATACTGGACTATCCTGCCAGTATTAACAGTATTAAAATAGTATTAACAGTATTAAAATAGTATTGTCTACTATATACAATTCCCTTCAGTACTTTCTTAAAAAATTGGTATAGAAGAATTTCAATGAAAATGAAATGAAACTGTTCTGGCACATGTTGAAAATCCATTATAATTTATTTTCCCCCATAGGAACTGTTCTGGATGACATCAATGGCAATGCCTGCATCCCCTTTGAGCAATGTTCCTGCATTTATAATGGAGAATCCTACGCTCCAGGGATGACATATTCAGCTCCATGCCGTTCCTGGTAATTACTATCTTTTGGTACATTTGACCAATCTTTTGTGCAGGAATCTAATTTTCATCTATGTTGTCAATAATTTTTATTTGTAATTCCTGATTTTGGGCTCTGATCTAAAGTCCATACTTCCATTTAACCTCTCAGATTGCATATATTATGACTGGCTATTAATCTATCCTTCAGATTCATTCAAAAGGAAGATTCTGCTGGATTTTTGAAGCTAGCTGGGTAACTAAAGAACAGCAGTTAACTAATGAATATATTGCTAAACTCTTTAGGAGAAAAGAAAATGTAATACTACTTTTTGCAGGTATTGTTCACTGTGACTTTGCAATATCAGAGAAAAAGGCTTTCTCACATTTGCAGCTATTACCTCTTCTGGTAATTGTTCCAAATGTATAGTGGAAGATAGCACATCTTTTTTACTAGCCGATAAACATTCAGAAATCTCAAAAAGAAGTGCAAAATGTTTTTCAATCGTGGTTGCAATAAGAAAACATTAAGCACTGTCATATCATTCCATGCTGGAAGATAAGCTATATATTTTTCTCTTTAATATTTTAGTGTATAGTTTCACATTAATGTTTGATATTATTTGGTCTGACAGCATAAATAAATAAACCTATGTGTAAACACTTCCTGCATTCTATTAATTTCCGGGAAATGAAGCTCTGATCATAAATCATGCCTACCATAGCTTTTGAATTGTAAGATACTCAATCAAACTAAGCATCTATAGTTACATGTTCAAAATGGGAATTTAACTGATGCCATAGCAAAATAATACAAGTAAGGTACTTTTTCTTCAAAGTTAAATCCCTAATTTTAGATTCTCTTTCCTCCAGTGTCTGCAGTGGTGGTGAGTGGAATTGCACAGAACTTCCTTGTCGTAGTATTTGCTCAATAGAAGGAGGATCGCATATCTCCACCTATGATGAAGTGTGGTATAATTTCCATGGAAAGTGTAATTATATTCTAACTAAGGCAAGTCATCTAAGATTTCACATTAGCAAAAATGTCTTTAGGTACACAACCTAAACCTGAGCTTTGTTTCTGGAATTATAAAATTACATTTATTGTTCCTGATGTCAATCCATTGCTATAAATATTAAATCACACAGTTTATCCAGTTTCTGTTTCTAGATTTTATTTATATCTTGCTTTTTTCCTTATAAAATGGTAGCTTTCTATTACATTTGTACATTAAAAAGAGGAACTCTTGGGTGATGGAGAAGAACTTCACCAAGCTATTGTTTTCTTTCCAGGAGATGTAAATGATAACCATTTAAAACTGATTAAGTCAATTACTATATTAGTGTAATCAAAAAAGCAGATAGAATGCTGCTCAATAAAGTGGTTTGATAATGAAAACAAAATTAACCTAGCTAGGAAGAGACTGAACAATTCAGAAAATGCTCTTAATCTGGCTCTTCACTTCTCTCTTCTAATAAGGTTGGTTCCCTTTCTTTGCAAAGTCAACCAAATTACTATAGAAATTATCCCAAAATATTTTTAAAGTAGCATCCTTGAAATCTATCTGTTGTGTGATTATTATTTTTCCTGATCTTTCTCCCCCAGATTTGTGAAGAAGAAACCTTTACTGTTCTTGGAGATCTTGGGCCATGTGGCTTTGCAGAGTCTGAGACTTGCTTAAAAATGGTGGCTCTTACCATCAATAGAGGAGAAACTGTAAGTACCGTAATGCATCAAAATGGCTCAGGTGCCATTGAGTTCAGAATCTGCATGTATCATTAGGCTTGTCTACTAATCTAAAAAATACCATTTGCTGACAAAATAATGAATATCTAATAAGCAGAATTCACTTCTTTTTCTATATTTAAACAAGAATTTCATTGCTAGAAGTAAAATGAAGGAGCTTTGAAACTTTGGATTACAGCACTTTAATTTCCTTTTCTTCTTAAGTAACAGTTCAGTTAAATTCCTGTCAACAACTAAACCAAATTAAATTAAACAGTTTATCTAAATATGAATTGATGAGAGGTGAGAATTTGACTTAGCACTTGTAATGTCTCTCCCTTCTTACCTTTCCTTCTACCTTCTTTTCCTCCCTTCCCATATAATTCATTTATACTTACAAACATATCCACATTTATATGTACAGTATATGAATACCATTAATATGTAGCTGTTAACATACTCTTGAGAAAAACAAAATAAAACACTGTGAGGAATTGGACATTGCTCAATCCTGCTCACATTCTCCTTCAAGAAAGGGAAAAACGGCTTCCAATAGTTTCTGTCACCCTGTAAAAGCCTACATGCACTGTTGAAAGATACTTTGGAAGAACATAGGAAATATCACAGTAGATGACCTAAAGAATTGTTCATGTGAGGATGAATTTGCATTTGATAGGATAGATGATAGCTGTTTTATAAATCCTGCCCTGTACACCTTTCCAGAAGTTGTAAGCTGTGTCTTCTCTCTACTGTAATGAAAGGATAGGAGAGAGTTAGATATTAATGCCTTTGAATCACAAACACCCAGTGAACATAGCTCAGACTTATTTCTTTAGATGTTTATCTCCAGATCAGTTCATTGTTGCAGAGTTTTGACATGCTCTACCCTTTCTGTGTATGATGGCCTTTACTGAATGACCAGCCTATCCACACAAAGGGTGGATTTTTTCATGAAAGATAGATAGATAGATAGATAGATAGATAGATAGATAGATAGATAGAT